TACTGGCCGACCTGGAGCCTTTCCATCTAATGCTGGTGATGATGGCGTCCAGGAAAGTCAGCTAGGATCTGAAGAGGATGTTGGTGAATAATTAATGCTTGCTGTTCGTGTCACAGCTAATCCCTGCCTTCCTTATCAATATACTTAGCCAGGAGTAAAACAAGTTCATGTCTGGCTTCAAATAATAGTTACCACTTCACTTACCACCTGACTCATCATTTACGGGATAACCAGACCTTGGTAGCCTGTGGTCAGGTTAATCATATAAACTCTTGTTTCTGTATTTACTAAGCCAAATAGATAATGAGGAGTATGGTGAGAATCCTGTCTCGTTATTTATTTGTTTGCTTGTTTTTATTGGAGATGAAACCCACGACCTCACGCACGCTAGGCAAGAATTCTGTCTTAGACAGACACAATGCCAGCCCCTCACTGGGGAATTCTAGGCTAACACTCTACTGAGGAGCCATGCCCCCATCTCTCACTTGGGGATTCTACGAAAGTGTTGTACCATTGAGCCAGCCCCCCATCCATCACTGGGGAATTCTAGGACACCACTTTACTGCTGACCCGTACCCCCACCTCTCACTGGGGGTGTCTAGGCAAATGTTCTGCCAGCGAGCCAGGTCTCCAGCCCCTCACTGGGGAATTCTATATCCGAGCCACACTCCAACTTGCTTATGTGATTTCTCCATTTTTTCTTTTTTATCTACTGCAGCTTATAATGTTCTTTAATTGCTTCCCCAAGGCTGGATTTATACAGTAAAAAATTAGGAAAATAAAGGTGACCACCCATCTCAGACTGGTACGGTATATAAGTGGGAAAGTTGGGGGAGAGTTTCCACCCGTATGTGAAGGGGAAATTCTGAGTTAGAGAGGAGGGAGATGTGAAGGTTTGCCCTGACTCTTTAACTCAGTTCTTCCCAGGAGAGGATCTTTCTTCTCCAAGACAAGTGCCAGTGGTGTTCATCCGTGTGTCCCAAAGCGCTTTCCAAGCCACTTAGAAATGACTGGAAGACTGTCTCCTGTTTTAACTCTGCGTTTGCCACATCTCCTCTGTTAACAAGATACTCAGGAAATCTGCAGCTATCTGAGGGACATTCTGTCCAAGGCCATGTCTGTCTTCATCCTTATCAGCTGGTGACAAAGGGTAGTTCCTACTGTTTGTTTGTTTTGTTGCTTTCTTTCCCTTTGAGACATAATTTCCCTACGCACCCTTAGCTAGCCTGGAGCTCACTATGTAGCTCAGGCTGGCCTTAAACTTACAGAAACCTCCCTGCTTCGGCTTCTCGGGCCACGCCGGACTCATTCATCTTGAGTGCACACCGACTGTTCTGTTCGTCCTTTTCTGTTTTCCCTTAGTTTCCAGAATCCCGGGTCTTGCTGTTCTTTCTTATCATCCACCTCAGACTGTGGCTCCTGAAGTGGGGACAGCAAATACTAGGGGGTGGGCCGAGGCTTTACGGAGGTTTGGGGGTGAATTGAAAACGGGTTGGTCCGGGGGGGCGGATGTTAGAGACACAAGGGCGCATGGCTGTGGGGAGCCTGGTAGAGATGGCTTCTACAGCTGCGCATCCAACCCCTTCCTCCACACTCATACCCCACACTCACCTCCCTCCACACTCACACCCCACACTCACCTCCCTCCACACTCACAGCCCACACTCACCTCCCTCCACACTCACACACTCACCTCCCT